GAACATGTCAGGCTGCTTACCAAAAGGTGGGTGGTTCAACTCTCCTAGACTCTTTTCAAGAGAAAGAAAGTCTCCCTGGGTAAAGATTTGTAGCTTTGGAAACCCAGTGGAGGGTAGGAGGTCAGAACTCTTGAAAATTGGCTTTTCTAGCCATTGTGTTAGCTTCCGTTGAGGGGCATGGTCTCCATCTGCCTTAACTGCAGACACATGGTCTTGCAAATGATCAACAGCTGTGGGACCAATATAAGAGAATTATTTCTACACTGTGAGATGGTGGTGGAAGGACTGTGAAGACACTTTGATAGGTGGTGGTGGAGAGAAAATGAAGAGACTGTGACACTGCTGTGAAGAGACTTTGGCAAGGGGTATCCAGAGGAATCCTAGAGATGGAGTGCCACAGTTAAAGGTTTTGCTTTCTGGATGATTGCTTTGTAATTGCTCTGATTGAGGAATTGTGTCTTATTTATCTGGTTTTGGACTTCTAGACTAAACCTAGACTTGCTTGCATTGTGTGATATTCCTGCCTCTCCCACCCCCTCCCAAATATATTTCCCTAATAAACCCACAACTATGGGTCAAGTCTGTGAGTCAAGTAGCAATGAACATTGGAGTTAATGATTCATAGAAATAGGTATTGAAGCATGTAGGGGTAGCATATCTGACTATGTAGCTATTTGCATGGTGCTATGGATATTATTGCTGGGGACAGTTCCCCTTCATAAAGTGGGTAGAAGTCAGACTCTGTCTCCCCCACGTTTGATCTGCTCCTTTTACAGAGGATCATCATGAGTTGAACAAGGCTAGGTTTCTGAAATAACTTAGTCTTTATTAGAAAATGTGGTATATTAATAACACCATCAGATTTTGCTTGCCTATAGAGCTCCTCTGCAGAATGACATTTTGATGGCCAATTGTGAAAATTATTCAAATGATATAAAACTGTTTCAGTGGGAGACATATGGGAATTTATCAACAAATGGATTTGTGTGTGTGTGCGCACGCGCGCGTGTGCGTGTGTGTACCGTCAAATCAGATCTGACTGGTACAGGAGGAGATTGCCCCTCCTTCTCCAGCAGAGCATTTGGTGGATTCGAATCACATACCTCTGGGACTGCAGTGCAGCTTCTTGCCACTAGGCCACCAGAGCTCTCTTGTTTTTATTTCTTTTTTTTTTTTTTTAAATTTAGGTTGTTTATTTTTCATTTCAATGAACATCTACAGAGATTTTGGGATTCCATTCATTCAT